CGCCAAGAAGGTGAGCGGGTGGTTCTAGGGGGTTCTGCTCTTGTGTGCATCCGTCGTTTGAAGGGGAAAAGGGGGGGTATGAGCACATGAGCGAGGATCTGGGGTACACGTGGGAGAGGGTGGATGTGTCCCACCTGGGATCCGCCAAGAAGGTGAGCGGGTGGTTCTAGGGGGTTCTGCTCTTGTGTGCATCCGTCGTTTGAAGGGGAAAAGGGGGGGTATGAGCACATGAGCGAGGATCTGGGGTACACGTGGGAGAGGGTGGATGTGTCCCACCTGGGATCCGCCAAGAAGGTGAGCGGGTGGTTCTAGGGGGTTCTGCTCTTGTGTGCATCCGTCGTTTGAAGGGGAAAAGGGGGGGTATGAGCACATGAGCGAGGATCTGGGGTACACGTGGGAGAGGGTGGATGTGTCCCACCTGGGATCCGCCAAGAAGGTGAGCGGGTGGCTGTGTGCGGGAAAAGTACGCTTGCAGGAGTAAGGAGAGTGCTGTGGGAGGAGTATGGGGTAGAGAAGGAAGGATGGGGTGGGGGGACATGGAGGTTACCACCCCAGTTACCTATGCTCACGGGTTTAACTTCTGCAGGGCTCTTTGCCTGCAGGGCTCATTGTAATTGTATTCAGGGCTCATGATTTCGTGTGGCCGCGTGTGTGTGTGTGTGTGTGTGTGTGTGTGTGTGTGTCTGTGTGTGTGTGTGTGCGTGTGTGTGTGTGTGTGTGTGTGTCTGTGTGTGTGTCTGTGTGTGTGTGTGTGTGTGTGTGTGTGTGTGCGTGCGTGCGTGCGTGCGTGCGTGCGTGCGCGCGCGCGCGCGCGCGCGTGTGTGTGTGTGTGTGTGTGTGTGACGGTGCGTGTGTGTAATGGTGCGTGTGTGTGCGCCTGTGCCCTCAGGTGACGATATCGAAGGACGACAGTATTATTCTTGATGGAGCTGGAGATAAGAAGGCCCTGGAGGAGCGGTGTGAGCAGGTGAGGAGCGGTGTGAGCAGGTAAGGAGCGGTGTGAGCAGGTGAGGAGCGGTGTGTGCAGGTGAGGAGCGGTGCGAGCAGGTAAGAAGTCGTGTCATGGTGAGACGTGTTCAGCGTGAAGGCACGCCAAGGCCATGCCATGACATTCTCCACAGCTCGTTTCCGTCCCTCACACCCTTACACCCTCCTTTACACGCACCCTCTCACCCCACGCCCCTCGCCTCGCCCTCTTCCTCTCTGTGTTGCAGATCCGAGAGGCAGTAGCCAACGCGACATCAGACTACGACAAGGAGAAGCTGCAGGAGCGCCTGGCGAAGCTGTCTGGCGGTGTGGCTGTGCTCAAGGTGGGTGGACATGTGGGTGCTGAGTGGTGCTGAGTGGTGCTGCGTGGTGCTGAGTGGTGCTGGGTGGTGCTCAGTGGTGTGGTGCTGGGCGCTGAGTGATGAGTGAAGGCGCTGGGTCATCTATGTCGGCTACTGGTCCTGTACCCACCCTCTATGTGCCTCCTCCCATGTCCACTCCTCCTGGGTGACAGACGCACGGAACGCCACCAAGGCGGCTGTGGAGGAGGGCATCGTGCCCTCTCTGCCTTCTTCCTTGCCCAGTGGTCCATGCATTCACCTTGCCGCTTGCTCCTGTCGCCGCTTCCGTGTCCCTCCTGCCCGTTGTGCCCCATTCCTGCTGTCTGTGCACAGATTGGAGGAGCGAGCGAGGTGGAGGTGGGGGAGAAGAAGGACCGGGTGACGGACGCGCTGAACGCCACCAAGGCGGCGGTGGAGGAGGGCATCGTGCCGGGTGGTGGTGTGGCTCTGCTGTACGCCTCTCGGGATCTCGACACTCTTTCTGCTGAGAATTTCGACCAGAAAGTCGGCATTCAGATCATCAGGGACGCGCTCAGGGTGAGTGATTGCCCCACCCGAGGCCGTTGTGAGTGAGTCGATAAGTAAACCTGGCAAGCTGCTGGAGCAAAGCAATCGTTCCTTCTGCTGCTCCTCTTTCTCGCTGACTCCAACCTCTGCATTCCCCTCCTCCCGCTCTCCCTCCCACCCCGCACCCTCCAACCCCACCCCTCCCTCCCTTACCTCCTCCCATACCCCGCATCTCCCAACCATCCCCCGCATCTCCCCCCATCCCCCGCATCAACCCCCATCCCCACCAGACGCCAGCGCTGACCATTGCGAACAACGCAGGGGTGGAGGGGGCAGTGATTGTGGGGAAGCTGCTGGAGCAAACCAACCTCGACTGGGGCTACGATGCTGCCAAGGGTGCGTAGGCCTGGCAAGGATGAGGCTGTAGGGGCGGAAGGGTGATTGGGGCTCTAGTGTCCGTGGTGCCTTGGGAGATGAAGCCTCTTGGAGCAAGCTGTGGGTCGCTGTGGGGCGCTATGGGGTGCTGTGGGGTGCTGTGAGGTGCTGTGGGGCGCTGTGGAGTGCTGTGAGGTGCTGTGGGGTGCTGTGGGGTGCTGTGGGGTGCTGTGAGGTGCTGTGAGGTGCTGTGGGGCGCTGTGGGGTGCTGTGAGGTGCTGTGGGGTGCTGTGGGGTGCTGTGGGGTGCTGTGGGGTGCTGTGGGCAAGCTGCTGGAGCAGAGCAACCTCGACTGGGGCTAGCATGCCGCCAAGGGTGAGTGAATGGCAATGGGTGCAGGATATTTCTAAGAATTAAAACAAAAAAAAAAAAACCTGCAATGGCATGGGTGCTGCAGGCAGGGTGATTTGCATGGCGCTGGGTGCTGCAGGCAGGGTGATTTGCATGGCGCTGGGTGCTGCAGGCAGGGTGATTTGCATGGCGCTGGGTGCTGCAGGCAGGGTGATTTGCATGGCGCTGGGTGCTGCAGGCAGGGTGATTTGCATGGCGCTGGGTGCTGCAGGCAGGGTGATTTGCATGGCGCTGGGTGCTGCAGGCAGGGTGATTTGCATGGCGCTGGGTGCTGCAGGCAGGGTGATTTGCATGGCGCTGGGTGCTGCAGGCAGGGTGATTTGCATGGCGCTGGGTGCTGCCTCTGGCCTCCCTCGTCACCGCCAATCACGCCTTTGCTGTTGGCCTTCCTTCCTCTTCCGTGTCCCTCGCCCTCCCCTGTCTTTATCCCACCAGGCGAGTACGTGGACATGGTGAAGGCGGTATCATCGGTAGTTATCCGCACAGCGCTGGTGGATACTGCCTAGGTGGCCTCCCTTATGACAACCACCGAGGCTTTCGTTGACCTTCCTTCCCCTTCCCTGCCCCTCCCCTTCCACCACCACACCCACCAGGCGAGTACGTGGACATGGTCAAAGCAGGCATTATCGATCCTCTCAAGGTCATTCGCACGGCGCTTGTTGATGCTGCAAGTGTGGCCTCCCTCATGACCACCACCGAGGCTGTTGTCGTTGACCTTCCGGAAGATCCCAAGCCCAGCCCCATGGGCGGCATGGGTGGCATGGGTGGCATGGGCGGCATGGACTACTAGATTTGATTTTCTTCTTGGTCCTGCCGGCATGGCGTGACCCGTTACCACCACTCAGGCGGCTGTGGGTTTGCTTTGAAACTAAGGCCGCATCAGATGGTGGTTCAAGATTGGGTGGTACTCAACACGAGGATGCTTCATGACCAGCAGTGTGTTGGGCTTAGGATTTTGACGCAACTGCATTATGCAGGATAGGTTTTCTAGATGTGCACTTAGCTGTGCCCTGCCATTAGTTGGGGAGGGAGAAGCTAGGCTCCAAGAGGATGAAAACCTCTTGTTTATAAGAAGTGCAAATTGATATGATAAAGACTTGGGTTCTACATTTGATTTCTGAACTTATCCTCTGTTAAACACATTGAGCGAATTGATGGAAGCAAACTTTAGTAAGGTCGGGTTAGTTTTATGTAAGGATTATACACTGGGTGTTGTTCAGTATTAATCACTCACTCAACACTTCGAACCGCTCGCTAATTAGCAATACATCAGCACTTCTGGAACTTCAAAACAACCGTTCTGATTTGCCCTTGTCCCATTTGCACCTCATCCAATCAGAACCCCGTCGTGCGACTCGATCAAAAATTTTTCGTGGCAAATTGCCAATATTTCAAGTAGCGGGCAGCTCAAATGCTTGGTGGCGACCGTGTCAGGGGCAATTTCAGCTGTCAGACCCTTGGCCTAGGCAACATCGCAGAAACTACCGCCCACTTTGTTTTCCTGCCCACTGCCCTCTTTGGTCACTGCGGCAAGGCAATCCAGCCAACTCCTTTGGATGCGAATCGGGACAGACGAGCCGCCTGGTTACCAGCATATCGGCCGGCCAATCCCTGCTTGAATTTCTTCCACATGCACCGCGATTCGGTACCCTTACGAGAGGAGCCTGCCCCGGCCCAAGTTTCCATCCCAAGCCAACGTGCTGGCTTGTGCGATATTGAAGCACTGTTCGCCACATCTGACACCAAGAGAAGCGTCGCAGAGGCTTCAACGAAGCCCTTCCCGCCTGTCGCAAAGCGATCGCAGGGCTAATTGGCGCTGTGGCAGGTCGCCCGTCTCCTCCACCTTGCGAAGCTGGAAATCCCCAGAACCAGCAAATCGTATGGAACAATAAGCGAGCCGCGCATTCGCCAACGGCATTTCACATCAACTCGACGCGAGCCTCCATGTCCGTTCCAGGCGTACCTGCATTGCTCTATTGCGCTACATGCCACTAGCCCTCGTCAACTTGAGACTAGTCAAAGTTGGCCTGAACCATATTCTCAATAAGGCAGCAGAATTCCACTCGATACCTTAGCAAACGAAAGCGACACGCGTGTGAAACGGCTCTCGCAACTTTCAGTCACGAAAATACTTTCTTGGGTGGCAACGCGTAGCGTGTGACGAACAAAGCACGGGAGAACGACATAGAAGGTGGAATTAAGTAACGGCCACATTTAAACAAGATACCATGGCAACACATTGCGTGCGAACGCTGCGACTACCGTCGCGCGCGCTAGTGCCCATCGTAGCATTCGCAATCATGGCGCTCTTGACTGTTACAGAATCAGCTTCTTTCGGCGACACGGGACGAGCAACGGCCACCTTTTACGGCAGCGGAGATGGTGAGACGTTTTTCTCAGATCTTTCTCGGTCCGCACCTTCTACTATCGATCCGTCACGCAGGTCGTAGCGCACAATGGTTTCATTATTGTACAGCTTAAGTTTGCACCATGATGAATAGTTACTTGCTTCGCTCACTCGCATCTGAATTCCCTTCCAACAGGTGGCAATTGCGGATACGGCGTCCTTGCGGAGTCCGGCTACGGTCCGCTCATCGCGGCGGGAAGTGCGCCGCTTTACAAGGGCGGCAAAGGTTGCGGCGCCTGCTACAAGTGAGCCACGACCCTTCCCTCCCCCCCGTTGACAACCTCACGACCATCTCTCGACCATCTCTCCATATTACTCATTCTTCTTCCCAATGCAACCAAACACCAAGTTCCCCTCGCGTAATTAAACCTCAACATAGTCACCTCATGGTCTTCCGGGTTTTTCATCCCTTCCTTCCCCATATTCCTCTCCCGATTTCCCGGCCCCAATCTCTCTCTCCTCCTTCCAGGGTGCGGTGCGTGGACAGCCAGTGATGCAAGGACGCGAAGATAACGGCGCCAATAACGGACTTCTGTCCGGGGCGGCGTGTGACGGCCCTGGTGCTACCACTCCTCTCCCTCATCCGGCAAATTTCTTATTTTTCCGCCCTCCCCTTCTCTTCTCGCCACAGGGTGCGGTGCGTGGACAGCCAGTGGTGCAAGGACGCGGAGATCACGGTGCCAATAACGGACTTCTGTCCGGGCGGCGGAGTGTGCTGTCCCACGTGCACGCACTTCGACCTCAGCCAGCCCGCGTTCGGCATCATCGCGGACCCCGTCGCGGGAGTCATTCCGCTCGCCTACCAGCGGTGAGCCAACGAGAAACGCACCCTGCGTTTGATTCCCCTCTTTTGTAGAGCACATCTCGTTCTTTGCCCGTTCTCCGTCACTCTCTGTCAGTCTCTGCAACTTCCCGTCACTCTCCGACGGTTTGCGTCTATCACCGTCGCTTTTACCGGGTTCACCTTCCCACCATCCTGTTGCCATGCTCGCCCGCGCCCCTGCCATCGCGCTCGATTACCTAACTGAACTCTCCTCAGCTCTCGTCATCACTCCCAATTCAGAATCCCGCGCTCGTTCTCCACATCCGGAGTACCTCACTGAAGAGAGGCCCTCTTTCTTGCTCCTGTCTTCGATCCATGTATCCCCTCGTAGGGTGCCATGCTCGTTCCCCGCCTCGATCACGTTCCGCGTCACCGGCACCAACTACTGGATGAACGTGCTGCTGCTGCGCGTGGGCGGGCCCTATTCGCTAACCTTGCCTTTTCCCCTCGTCTCTGCTACTATCCCCTGACTCCCCTTAATTCTCCTCACAGGGTGCCATGCTCCTTCCCCACCTCCATCACCTTCCGCGTCACCGGCACCAACTACTGGATGAACGTGCTGCTGCTGCGCGTGGGCGGGCCGGGGGAGGTGGCTCTGGTGGAGGTGTCATCTAAGAACGACCCCAACTGGCGGCCGCTCACGCACGACTGGGGCGCGAATTGGGTCAGCTACAGTTATATCGAGGGGCCGTTGAAATTTCGGCTTACGTCGGGGATGGACGGGGCTGTGATTACAACGGGGGAAAATTGCGTTCCGGCGATTTATCCCGGGGATTTCACTTGCGGCGCGCAATTTACGAGTGGGTATAACAGTTCGGATACTAACGGGGATGGTGGGAGTAACAGCAGCGTGGGGAACAGTACAAATGTGCCTGAGAAAAAGAACGGCGACAATGGCAATAGCGGGAATGCCAGTAACGGGGACAGCAACAAAGCCACGAACAACGGCAGCTCAGCAGGACCTACCCCAGCAACGACCGCCCCAGCTACCACTTCCCCTGACTCACCTCCCCCGGTAACCACTCCACCTGTAACCAACCCCCCAGCAACAACCGCCCCTGGAACAACCGCCCCTGGCACTACAGACCCTGCAGCAACCACCCCTTTCACAACTGTCCCTGCCACAACTACTGGAACCGAAGGCTCCTCCTTCGGACGAAGCAGCACTGCTGGTGGCGGCCCCGCCACCGGTACCCCCAATGCTGACGTGTCCCCTGCCGCGTCAGCATCCTCTCCTGCTCCCGCCGGCCGCAAGGTCAATGCGGGCGGCAGCAGCGCCGGCAGCGGCACGGGCAGTCAGGAAAGTCAAGGGAGTAAAGGTAGCAGCAGCACGGGCAGTGGTGGCAGCACGGGCAGTCAAAACGGTCAAGGAAGTCAAGGCAGCCAAGGCAGCAGCGGTAGCAGCAGTGGCAGCGGTAGCAGCAGCGGCATCGGCAAAAGTAATGATCCCACCATCCCCTCAACCGTCATCCCCCCTCAAACCGGTGAAGACGTTCCTATAGGGTCGCAGACCACAGGAGGTGTGACTATACCGAATGCCAGCTACATCATTGATTCAAACGGAGCAGCTGCCACCAGTGGCAATGCTCAAGTGGGAGCGGGCGGCACGGCAGCAGCAGGAACAGTGGGTGCTGGTAACCCTGTAACTGCGGGTGCGGTGAAGCGTGGGAAGAAGTGGAGGACTGGAGTGGCACCGGCTAAGAAGGCGGGAGGGGCGCACCTAGTAGGGAAGGGGCACCGAGCTCCTGGTCAGGGACACCATGTGAAGGGACAGCCAGCCCTGGCTCGGTAGCATTTGGCTCGGCATTACTTGGTTCGGCATTGCTTGACTCGGTAAGACTTGGCTTGGTAACACTTGGCTCGGTACCACTTGGCTCGGCAGCACTTGGTTCGACAACACTTGGCTCGGTAACACTTGGCTTGGCAACACTTGGCTCGGTAACACTTGGCTCGGTAACACTTGGCTCGGTAACACTTGGCTCGGTAACACTTGGCTCGGTGACAGTGGTCTGTCAAGCATTGAATTGCATGTCTGCAGGGCTTTCATGGACGCATGCATGGTGATTAGGATGCATCAATAGCATTCATTTGTAGCTGGGTGTAGGTTGCTTGCGTGGCAACCTCGGCCTTTGTAGGATTGTTTGTAGGATTGTTAGTACTAGTTTATCACTTTGACTCTGCCAAACTTATCAGTCTATGGTTATTTCGGCACAGCATTGGCATGAGTATCCTCCCTCCATCAATGAACCAGCTCAAGGGCTCATTGCACTACGAAAGTTTTTATAGTTACAGGAGTATGGAATCAGACAGCTTACTGCTAAAGGGCATGCTTGCATCCTTTTCTACTCACCTCCTTCTCAAACTAACACCATTCCACACACTCCCCCTTACTCTCCTATACGCCCCCCATATAACCCATCCCCCCCACAACCCCCTTCCCCACTTGAAAGAGCCGCTTCTTGATCTCTGCCCCCAACAGCAGCACCATGCACGGGTCGCTGTTTGAGCCAGCCCAGAAGTCATTTTACGAAGATCCAGAAGCCACACCACAGCACCGAGTTGACTTTTGAGTCCGAGTGAAAATTCCTCAGCACCGCACCGCACCACGTAATTGTCAACCTTTTAACCCAACTTTAAGGCAATTTCGAGATTTGAGCCGAACAGTCTACTCCGTCTTCACCTTCACGAGCCGCTTCGTAATCTCCTTTTCCAGCAGCGGCACCACGTACTGGTTCACATAAAACGCCGCAGTTACCGCCCCCGCGTGACCAGGAAACATGGCATTCGCGAGCGTCTTCATCGCCTTCCTCGCCGCGGTCCTAATCAACGCCTTCTGCTTCTCAGGGTCCTTGGCCGCTTTGATGGGATCCTTCATGACCTTGATCGCTTCGAGAACGGCATCCGTCGCCATTTTCGCGGCCTTGTCTTTCATTTTCGCGGCGAGGCTCGTATCGGGATACGCCTCAAAGACGCGCTTGGGCGCCGGCTGCTCGCCCAAGGCGCGCCGGCTGGTGATAATTACGCTGGCGCCACGAGTAGTACCGATATTATCAGGGCTGCTTCGCGCGATGCTTGGAGCCGCGGGATCCGCTGCAGCGAGGGTTAGTGCGAAGGCCGCGAGGAGGACGAGGAGAAGAGAGAGGTAACGGAGAGCCATGGCGGATTGGGTATTGCGGCGGTTTGTAGGGAGAATCGAAGCCTGATTGAGTGACTTCGCGTGAAGTGCGGCAGTAGAGTTATGGGATGGGAAAGGAGCTGCGAGGAAATTACTAGATCCTGAGAGATTTGAATGCCTGTCAGGAGTTGGATGGGCCTCACAATTGAACTACTAGCTTTTATAGGCTTCTGAAGGTATGAATGTGCGACCCCGACGGATGCCCACGGCCGTGAGTGAAAAGGGGGCTTACCAGAGCAACGCGAGGAGAGACGGACGGAGTCACGGAGCCATGAGCTTATGTCTGGCGTCGCACAGAATAATTGTGTCGAAATTTGAGAAAAGCAATAATCTCCCCCGTCCCCTCCAACAGGTAAAGGAGAGCGAATTTTGATTGGTCTTTCGCAGCCGCGTGTTGCGGAGCGAGCCCTTCAATTGAGATCGTAGCTGCCCGCGTTTCACGGTGGAAAACACTGTGGAACTACACCACTTGGAGCAAGAAATACTTCATATGTGTAAATGATTTTTTATCATTTGGTGCATTAACTGCTAAGAAAGCTCGATTTTTGGTTCCGTACTGGGGTTGTATGTGAGATTGAAATAATATTACATTTGAGGCTCTTAAACAGAAGCATCCAACACCAGATCTGTCATTGCACTGGTAGGCTATGTGTGTTCGATTTTTTCTTACATTCTTCGAAGTGGCTAAAAGTACACGGTATCCTCGTGAAGAGTCCTAAACCCCGAACCCGCGCACGCACAAACGATGTCCGTTGGATCAAGCTTCCTCACGCATTCTCACTTCTGCGATTCCCCTTCTCTTCCTGTCGTTCTTCCCTGCTAGCATTCCGTTCCCTGTAGCCGTCCTTCTGCCTTTCGCAACTCCCCAACCTATTTTGGCTGCAACCTTCACGGGCTTTTCCCTTTCCCATAGTTTCATTTCTCTCACCTCTTCCCCGCCTTGTGGGCAGTCCCCTAAACAGCCGCCGCCATGGGTCGTATGCACAGTCACGGGTCAGTAGATTCTAACCGCGCTCCTCCTTTTCTCAGTTTGTTAAATTTAAAGAAAGGCATGCTGACGCGCGTAGTTGGCGTTTGTGCACTCTTGGTTCGGTTGATGCAGAAAGGGTATTTCGCGCTCCGCCCTGCCCTACAAGCGCACTCCTCCCAGCTGGTTGAAGATCTCTGCCACCGAGGCGCGTTCTCTCTATCCTTTACGCGATTCGTTTAGATACCTTTTTTTAGGCCACTCTTCAGAAATCAGCATAGATACCACGAATGGGCGTACTTTCCAGGCAAAGGACGAGCTTCAGTATCTTTAAGTTTCGGGACCTCTCGGAAAGAAGCCTTACGTTTTTTTTTTTTGTGTCACCGTCTTCCGTTGTGCTTCTCGTCGCCTTACACATGTTGTCATGCTACCTAGCATGTCGACGAGCACATCTGCAAGCTCACGAAAATCAGACACGCAATAATAACTCACTATCTCGTATTTGCTCCTCATTTCTGTTGTTCTTTCCAGGTCGACGAGCACATTTGCAAGCTCGCGAAGAAGGGTTTGACGCCGTCGCAGATCGGCGTCATTCTGAGGGACTCCCATGGTATCGCGCAGGTGTCCGGCGTCACGGGCAGCAAGGTCCTGCGCATTCTCAAGGCTCACGGTACCTGACCTGAAAACTCTTCTCTGCTGGGGTAAACCCCCCTCGAATATTCCAACGTCCCATTCTGTAAGCTTCACTGCGGGCCGCACGGCCGGAGCAGTGAGCGGTCAGAGGGCGTTATCGGTATGTGCCACTCCATTCCTCCGTTGCACTCGGGCGCTCGTGTTCGTCCAGGCTCCTTTCAGAAACTGCTGGTTTCGGTTTTGGGTCAGCTACATGTTGATGTTTTTTTCTTTGTCAATGTTTCAAATTCGGAACCTATCAGCATTTTTTACTTCGATCGTCCTGGGTTTTGTGCCTGAAATTTTTGAAGACGAAGATTTTGGATCTTCTCCTTATCTTCAAGCCTGGTGTCGGAGATCCCCGAGGACCTGGTAGATAAAAAAAAAATGCGCTGGCAGTTTGTCAGGTTTCCCTCCCCCCTCCTCCCCCCAACTTTTCCCCTACCAATAGGCCTGGCGCCCGAGATCCCCGAGGACCTGTACCATCTGATCAAGAAGGCGCTGGCGTTTCGCAATGTTTCCAACCGTAATCAATCCCTCCCCACCACTCTCTCCCACCATTAGGCTTGGCGCCCGAGATCCCCGAGGACCTGTACCATCTGATCAAGAAGGCGTTGGCGGTGCGCAAGCACTTGGAGCGCAACCGCAAGGACAAGGACTCCAAGTTCCGCCTCATTCTCATCGAGAGCCGCGTGCACCGCCTCGCGCGCTACTACAAGTGGACCAAGAAGCTGCCGCCCAACTGGAAGTAGTAAGTGCATTCGTTTCAGGCGTTTTTCCTGTTCTTTTTTTTTCCCCCTGGTGTGAGCCGCGTGCACCGTCTCGCGCGTCAAGTGGACCAAGAAGCTGCCGCCCAACTGGAAGTAGTAAGTGCACTAGGACTTCCCACCCCTCACCCCCCCCTCGCTTCATGCCTGCAATGTGTGTAAGCACTAGCACCAGTAAGTTGCCAACAAGGGAGAAGCAGTGGATGGCTTACTTGACTCATATTCTCTCCATCCCGCCCCCTCCTGTGTGTGCCTTGCAGCGAGTCCGGCACTGCCAGCACCCTCGTTGCCTAAGCTGGAGCATGGATGGATGCTGTCTGCTGTTTGCGAGATATATGGTTCTGATTCGCTCATAGTGGGGTTGCAGTAGTATGTATCTTGGAACAGTGTGTTACTGGCTTTCCTGTGTGGAGCGCACTTGAAGGAACCTTGCAGTCCATCCACGCAAAATTTAAGTGCTTGATGAAAGGAAGCAGGTATACAAGATGGTACTTTTAGTTTATAGTTGTTCATATTGGAAGTATTTTAACATCAATGTACTTTTGGCTGCCCTAGTATGTGAAAGCTAGAAAGTTTTGAGATTTTGAACTTACATTTTGGAATGTATGACACTTTAATGAGAAGCCAATATTAAGAATCATATTTCATGAGGAAGGTAACAGGTAACAATGCTAGACTAATATAGTAAAAAATGCTGCCAACATATTTAGGTGTTGTACATTACACTCGGGAGACAAAACTGCGGTTGAGTCTAACGAGAGTTGGGCGGAGAGACAAGAGCCGCAACATCCTCATCCCAATCCGAGGAGTACTCTGGTTCAGGCTCGGCGACGAATGCAGGCTCGGAAGGCAGCAGCGCCTGCTGCGAAACGGTCGACAGCATCTTCATCTCCAAATCGTCGCCCGCCACCAGCTCGCGAATACCCTCGTGCAGCGACACCAACTCCTGCACCCAACCATGACGAGAGAGTGAAGTGAAGACAAGAGATTGAGGAGATTTGTGTGAAGGGAGATAAGAACCCGGACGATAGAGACGTTGATGAAGGGATGGGGAGGGACAAGAGGAAAAGAGAAAACCAGGAGGTCTGGGGGGGAGAGGGGGGGAAAGAGAGTATCGGGGGAGAAGGTAACGTACCGCGGCATTGTTGCGCGCGGATTGCGCGATGACATCGAGGGCGAGGATGGGGAACGGATTCTCGATGATCACGCCGACCTCCTCGATGCAGAAAAACACTCCCGTGCACATGATGGTGACGGGGATGGTGACAGCCGAGGGGGTCCCAGAGCGCGAGTGGAAGGAACATGTGGTAGAGCACGAGGAATCTCGAGGTGAGGCGCGTGTAGGAGAGTGGGATGGGCGTTTTGAACAGCCTCTCGCTGCCTCCCACGTCATCAGCGAACGTGGCGAAGTTGGCCTCCTGAAAGAGCAGAAAATGAGGAAAGGACATTCGGCAATGTTGAACGATTCTATTGGAAATTGATTTTTTCTTTAGTAGATTCGAGTTGTGCAAGTGCGACAGACGTGATGATACATAAGGCAGCGCGTGTATCGTAACATACCATAGCGAGGCGGTGAGCGGGTTCCATGGTGCAGGAGCGCATGCACTCCGACATCATCTGCAGCACGTAGTTGGGGCGATGCGTGGCGCCCAGCACGCCCTTGATCTCCGCGTCGCTCAGCGTCGTAAATTGCTGCGGGAGGATGATTGGAAAAAGAGCGCGCGGAAATAGAGGGGGAATGGTCCAGGAAGGCAAAGAGCCGATGTTATGTCGTGAAGGGGGGTGGCAGATTTCTGGTGGCTATTATTAACCCGTCATATCCATTCTCGTTGGGTATCAGATTCGTTCGACCCGACACTGGGTGGTGCCTTGTACCAATCGTTTCGACCGGGTACGCAATTTTCAGTCGATTTGATGAGCCTAATGTGAAATAGGAAGAGAAGTTAAAAAAAAAAAAAGAAAGAATACAAGAAAAAACTTACACGGAGATCTTCCTCGAGCGAGCCCTCCTGCAGGAAGTGGTGCTTGTACGCGAGCGGGAACGCTTGCAGGTGCCGAATGAACTGCGCGCGCTTCGGGTACTCGTACGTGTGGTCGTCGCGCGCCATGTACGACAGCGCCTGTCGCGTGATGTCGCGCGTGCGATTCAGCATGAGCCCCCACATCTTGCGCGCCTCGTCGAAGCGCCCGTAGCTCGAGTTGGTCCGGAAAACCAGGAGGAAGGAGAGCGCAGGCGCGGTGAGTGTGAAGGGGAGGTTGGAGATGTGAAGAATCGGAGCCCATTCTGGGAGCGCGCCCATGCCTGCGAGCTCGTTCCACCCGCAAATTGCGGTTGCGATTCCGGTCATGACGCCGACGGGCAGGCCGAGCGCGCCGATGACCTTGGAGGTGAGGATGGTTTTGATGTGGCGGAAGTAGCGCCCGCTCGACTTGTGCTTCTGCGCATTGTCGCGCGGAAAGGGGACAGCGCGGGGTGGGAAGGGGGAAAGTGAGCGTAGGGGAAGGGTGGCAAGTGAAGGTTGCATACGCGTGGGGGGAGTTCTGAAGCCAGCCGTGGGGAGAGTTCCGGAAAGGCGGCTTTGAGGATCGTTGGATCCAAGTCGCCCAAATCGCGCCACGCACCTTCCATTCGTCATGGCCGAAGACGACGCGGCGCCGAACCAGCGAGTCGAACTTGACGGCGTCGATGGAGTCAACATCCACCAGCGCTTTCACCACCAGCGGCTTCCGCCCCTTGTTGTCTGCCGCTTGCGCGCGTCTAGAAGCGTGGGGCTGCGCGCGCGGAACCTTCCGCAGAGAGACGCTGCGGAGGGAGCCATCTTCCCAGTGCTGCAGAGCAGCGGCGCGCGAGCTGGCGCTGGCTTGGGAGGGGTTGAGCAGCTTGGTGCCCCGCGAGGCAAAGCTTACAGTCGCCATTGTGAGCGACTTACAGCAAAGCCCTCTGCTTTGGTATGCGAAGTGACTGCTTGAGGAAAGCCAAATTATGGAGGCTGGTTCTAAAACAGTAGCTCCCTTTTGCATGATTTGTACAATCACACTCGAAATTTGGTGGGCGTTTGGGGTGCAGTTGACACCCAAACCAACTGTGAATTTCGGGGAGGCAGGGCGGATGCGTTCGAGACGAATGGAGTACCGCGGTGCGGGAGTCCAGGATGCGATGAATTTCGCTTAGATTGGCGGTCAATGCGGAGGGCTGGAAAATTGGTGGTTCTTGTGGGGGGCTGGCACGACGAGTCGCACATTCCATCTCGGTGACGAACGGCCAACGTGTTGGGATGCCACGTGGTGGATGGTGAGTGGAGATTTCAGCCCTCCTCCATTCGGATGACAGCTTCTCAAGGCTAATCCATCCAAGTGACTAGGCGAGCGTGTACGACTTCCAGAAATTGCCTATAGCGGAGACAGCACAATTTCTAACCAGTTCCACAAAAAACTACAAGGACAGATTGTTCTCACAAGAACCATGATGGATTACAATAAACAATACTACGTTTATATATTGATTTGTTGATACCTCACCATCATCTGCTATCGAGAATACCTACCTTCCAATACCTACAAATTTGTCCTAGACATAGGAAGTTCCTATCATCCATGTGTCTCACAATAGATTCAAACTTCTACATATCCAATTTTAGTTCCTAAGAGTCTTAAATCTCCTAGGACTACGCACTAGTCTTCCAGACCTTGTCACCGTCACAACTTCCCAATCCCATGCATGAGAGCTGCTGCCTCGTTTACTAGAGTCACTAATGCTATTCTTCTCGCTGGCACTCCGTGCAGTCTCAACCTCCAGACTGTTTCCCTCCAAACCTGTCTCACACTGCCCGGGTACCTCCTCACACAACCAGCTCCTCTCCTCATCCACTCCACTCCCCTCCTCTTCACACTCACACATCATGTGCGTACTGCTCCCAGCTACTCCCCACGTCCGTAGTATCCGCCGCCGCGCACGGCCCTTCCTGGCCCACACGGGGAAGTCAGCCAACCCATTATCACCCTCTCCGTCTGTCAAAACAGCAGCTGCTGCTGGCAACGCCCCGCTGCTGGTGCTACTGCTGCTGCTACATCTAGTGCTGCATGCTCTTGACATCCACGCCTGCTGCATAGCACGGCCCTTCCTAGCCCGTGTCCGTGGCCTCCTCGCGCGGCCATTTATGCCCCACGCGAGGAATCCGTGAATCCTGTCAGTGCTCGTGGCAGTGCCGCCGTACGTGTCAACGTTCGAGTCAATTCGCGTGTCAACCTTCGTGTAAATGCCCGTGTCAGCGGGGCATCCGCTGTGGGATGGTGAACCAACGCCAGCAGCAATCGCAGAAGTTACTCCTGACGCGCTCTCATCACGAACGAGCACCTTCTCGCTTCGTTTCACGACTTCTTTCAAACGAGGGTCACCACAGAGTAAGTTAGAGCATCTTACCCTGCGTTCGCCTTCAAACCCATCCACTACGGTGGAGCCCCTTCCCACACACTCCTCTATCTGATCATCTACTACCGAGGCGGTTTCCGAGGACAACGCAGATGCTGATGAAGTTTCCCCGATATAGTTCGCATCAGTCACATTGGCCTGTGTTTCTGCGATGCCGGAGTTGTTTTCATGAGTTGTATTGGGTCCTGAATGGGTGGTTTGGAGGATGGTTGTTAGGAACAAAGAAATTAAAAATACTGCCGGTGTTATCAAGCGCTGAGAAAGCGTGTGCGAGAGAACATAAAAGCGAAGGGCCTACCGAAAGAAAACCTACCGAGACATTGAGAAGCAGATTGTCCGTCTGATGGAGCCACTTTCTCACATGGCTCTGCCGAAACACCTGGTTTCCCGAAACCGGCGGAAGTACCCTCTTCTATTTCAAAAAGCTCTGGAAAAACGGTCTTGACATTGTCGAATAGCTCGTCCGCTTCAACCTGCCCGAGTGAGGCGGTGTCACTGACGGTGTCGTCGTCTTCGTGATTCCTGCAGCGTTGCGTTCCACGAACCGGCCGCCGGGTGAACGCGGAGTTGACGTCAGAACCATATGCATCGGAAAAATGTGGGGACGTGCTAACCGCAGGGACAATGCTGATGTTTTTATTTGAAACCGCTGGGTGCGGTGTGACTGTGATACGGTGACAATAACTTGTTTAGCAAAGTTCGGCTGCGGATACGCACCCATTGGCCAAAGTAGCGGCGGAGTATCGTGCAGGATAAACCATGTGGCTTGCGTAACCAGCAGAAGGGCGACTGACGCTTTAGAATTGGCGTTGAAGAAATGCGTAAAGGAAAATGACAGGCAGCGGGAGGCGACTGTTGATCGAATATCGCAGTTGTAAAGGCAAATACGGCGAGGCAAGGTGCTTTGACGTTTGGTTGGAGCGGGTGGGCTGGTTTAGGGAGATGCCCAGCCTTGGGGCCGAAGAAATGTTGGGGGGCGCTTATTTGGATTCGAAATTTGAATTTGGCATTTGAGTTTGGGTACGAGCTGAGGTCAAACTTCCCGAATCGCGGTTCCAAAAAAAACGCTACACCTAAAGTCACTACCGCAAATGTTAACGACCATAAGCCAAAGACAACACAAAGAAAATGGTCAAATTAATTATAGGACTTTGAACACGTTAGTGAAATCAGAAACTGTCCGGTTTGCTAAAGAAAAGACATCAGATACAGAAAATAAGGCTAGGACACCCGCAACAACACTACACTCCGACTCATGTGATATTTTTGTTCTTAACCCTAAATTTATTCATAATAGAAGTGTATGGCTGGAAATGTTATAGAAAGCGCTGGATCATACTTGGTAGCGAACCTTGTGCATTATATGCGCGTCACGTTCCTTTCCGCCTGTGTTGTGCTCAAACAGATTCGCCATCCACACACCGATGACCATTATGCAAGGAGAGTCGAAGTGCTTCCATTCCTCCTCGCTACGCAGTAGGGCAATTGTAAGCACCCGCCAGGCTCAGCGCTCGCGCGCAACTTGCGGCGGGTAACAGAACTGCTTCCATTTCTCCCGCTACGTAGGATGACAATTGTAAGAACCCGCGACTCGGGCGGTAACCCCGCAACTTGCGGCGGGTAACGACGATCTCGCTGCTGCGGGGCGCACATTCTCTTAGCTCACCCTCCGCTCTTCCGTTCCTATATAAGTAACTGCGCTAGCCTGTCAATGAGCATCAAATCAACATCGACAATCCCCTCCGAGGGGTGCTTGCGTTTCGAGTCGTTTGCGAGTCATTCTCACTGACACCGTGAGAATTTGACATTTTGGAGTGGCACTCAACGGCGGTTCGCATAAACTCTCTCAAATTTCGCAAAGAATTCCAGGCTCAGACCAGCTTATCGCGAATTATTCAGCAGCATCCCTCAAGGTTACTAGCAATGGCTATCCGCGGCCTTTTCCTCTTCACGCTTCTGTCCGTGTCGGTGCTCGCAGCGCTGACCCTTACCACCACGGCCGCCGCGCTTCGCGGCGGCACTCCGGAAGACGGACTCCTGACGTCGACCACGATTAGTACCACCGGTACCGGCACCGGCGCGGCTCGTACTAGAATTGTTGCCGGCAGGCGCTCCCTCGCGACCTCGCCCAAGCATCAGACAAGAAGAGTCTCAAGAAGAAATGCGCGGATTTCGCGGGGGATTGCTGGAAACTTATCCGCGAGAAGGTGAGTAAAAAGGACGTCGCAAAGATGGTGGCTAACCAGGCGGTTCATGGCAGCGGGATAGCGATTAACGCGGCCGAGGCCGTCGCAGCCGCGCGGAAGGGGGACAAGAAAGGAGCCACGGAGGCCGCGAAGAATGTCGCTGTGGGCGTGGGCTCTGCCGTAGCTGGCGCGGTGGCGGGTCCGCACGGCGCACTCGCAGTCAGCGCGACAGCCGCCGCGGTAAAGCATGTGAAACCCATCGTGGACAAAAAGTTGGAAAAGCGCAAGGCGGAGAAAAAAGAGGCAGAGAAGGCGAAAAAGCCGAAGCGCGAGTGATGGAGGAGGATATGGCGTGTTTCAGGAGGCGAGGCGGGGCTCCAGCCTCGAGGCGCTGGAGGGAGGCGAACCGGTGCGGTTCATGTAGTGGTCATGGCGGCGCACAGAGAAAGCTGCTGGTGTCGCAATGAATAGCTCAGTGAGCCTTGTTGGGGAGTCCGGCTGTTGGAGGCTTGGGGTCATGGAGGGTTTTTGGGGGGCGAAGGGGGGGGGGGGAGGGGGAGGGGAGTTGGGGAAGTGGGGGTTTGAGGGGTTTGGAATGATGTCTTGGCTAATCCTGACGAGAAGCGGGGAGGCGAAGGGTTGTGTGGTGGTTAGCTGCTGCTGCTGCGCAAATGGTTGGGGTGGTACTGGTGGAAAGGGTCCATGCTGGCGGGTGGTATGGCAAGGAAGATGGCCGAAACAGGGCAGAGATCATGTAGGCGAGGGATGAGCTGCTGAGAGGGATTTTGGAGAAACTAATCATATGTGACCCTATGTCGAGGGAGTGGGATGATGGTACAGGTAGAGGGGGCATAGGTGGACTGGGAAGGGTGGGGTAGAGGAGAATAAGAGCTGGTATGTTGAGATCTGCAGTGACAGATGTTGCTTCTGGAATAATATATATAATTCCTCTCTCTTATGGTATACTGTACAAAAGTACACACCAAAGGCAATAATACGTCAAAAGCCCGTCGCTAGACAAGCCTAGTCTACAAAAGAGAGAAAGAGATCGATCCGAAGCATGTCACACCAGCCAGATCACAACCTCTTCAAAGCAGTGCCTTACAAAGCGATAATAATATTGAACTTTTTTGGAATCCTTAGTTACACCAGTTGCACTGGAACCTGTGCTTTGAGGTTCCGCTTGCAATCAGACGAGGCAGAGCTTCCGAAGTAGAGCGTCTGGCCTTTGTCGCCGTCCCTCACGGTGTACGTGTAAAAGCCGACGAACGACGTAGAGCTAAGCGTCCTCGCGAGCGTGA